ACCCGGATCTTTGCAGGAGAGGAGAATCTGTGTGGAATCTAGCAATGGGCTCTGTTGTCCTCATAGCTGAAGCCAAGGTCAAAAGGGAAAACTGAGAGGGAATCAAGGTTGGGGTCCCTGTGGGGTCACCTCAGGCTAGTAGCTTCCCTTATTCAAAGGTCTCAGCTCCTGGGAGGTGGCGGTCTTTTCTGTTTATCCTCTGTGCCCACCCTCATCCCTTTAGGCGTGGGTGCTAAGGGCTCCTCCCACTTCTTTTTGGCCACACCATTGGCTTCCCTGGTGGTTCAGATGGTGAAGAATCTGCCTGCAATGCAGGAGACCCAGGTTTTATCCCTGGGTCAGGAGATCTCCTGGAGAAGGGAATGGAAACCCACTCCAGTATCCTTGCCTGGAGAATTCCATGGACAGAGGAGCTTGGCAGGCTACAGTCCATGGGGTCAGAAAGATTTGGACATGACTGAGCAACTAACACTTTCATCATAAATGGACCCCTGACTGGCACTTCTGCTGAGTGTGCCATTTATCTTCTGTTGAGGCCTACTGATGCCATATTATTCACAAAAGTAAATTCCAAGAAGATTAAAGACCTAAATTTATTTTTAAACCTATAAAAATATTAATAATATGGGGATATATTTATAACCTTGGCTGTGTAGGAAGATTATTTTTAGACCAGGATACAAATTAAAATTCATAAGTGAAAGAATAGATATATTTGATTAAAAGCAAAATTTCAAATTTCTGGATGATGAAAGCAAAGTTAATTATGATGATGAAAGCAAAGAAAGGTAAAGAGAAATATCTGAAATTTGTTACAAATTGTTATTATCTGTACTGTATAAGGATCAATTTTAAACATAAATTTATGAAATTATATATTTATAGACATTTATATATAACATTTGTATACATTTTATATAAAATATATTTTATACATAATATACAAATATACAAATTTGTATACAAAATATATTTGTATATACAAAATATACAAATATATTTTGTATATATAAATATACAGAAATATATGCGCTGTGTGCTTAGTTGCTCAGTCATGTCTGACTCTTTGCAAATCCATGGACTGCAGTCGCCAGGCTCCTCTGTCCTTGGGGATTCTCCAGGCAAGAATACTGGAGTCAGTTGGCATGCCCTCCTCCAGGGGATCTTCCCAACCCAGGGATCAAACCCGGGTCTCCCGCATTGCAGGTGATTCTTTACTGACTGAGCCACCAGATATATATATATAAACATCAATTCTAAAAAGAAACTATCAGAAAAGTGGACAAGGATGTGCATGACCATTTGCAGAAAAGAGAAATGGCATAAATATTTGAAAAGATTCTAATATTACTTGTAATTGGGAAAATAAAAATCACCACAAAATGTCACTTTAAACTATCAGATTGGCAGAACTTCAAAGAATGATAAACATCAAGAATTGTTAAGCAAGTAAGGAAACAATTTCTCTTGTTCACAGTCAGGGAGAGTGTTTAAGTTGGCAAGCTTTTTAGAAGAAAATCTGGCAGTGTCTATTAAAATTATAAATGTGTATCCCTTATGATCCTACTTCTTGGCAGCTACCATGGACAAAAACTTGCATATTTGCTCAGGCAGGCATATATAAGGATGTTTATTATAGCATTATTTGTAATTGTAAAAAACTGGAAACAATCTAAATGTCCATCAACTATGGAATAATTAACACATTTTCACAGTAGATTATATGCAACAGTTTAAAAAGAGAGATAAACCCATATGTTCTGACCTGGAAATATCTCTAATACATTTTATTTAGTTAAAATCCATTCAAGTTCAGGACATCATGCAGACCATGATGCCATTTATATAAAGGGTACTTATATGTTTATTTATATATTAATACATATAAATGCACACATTAAAGTCTAACAAATACACACCAAATTGATATCTATTGCTACTTCTGGGTAGAAGACTGTGGGATTTATCAGGAGAAATGTCAGGGATCTTTCACTTTTTCTGTATTCTCTATTTTTCCATATTTCACTATTTTCTATACCGTGTGAAATTTTTCAATGTGAATGTATTTACATCTCACCTATAAAATCATTATTTCTTTAGTGAGTAGTTGTAGCTTATATTTAATTCCTTCAGAAATAGATGAAAGGAAGAAATGGGGCTTTAGCATTAAATGGACGTGCACCTTCAAGAAACTGCCTAATTCACTGGGACTTGTGACCTCCTGCATGAAAAGGGGAAGTCTGTTGTGAAAATTAAGTTAGACAAAAACTGCTAGATGTGTAGCTGAGTTCACAGTAGGCAAAGAAAGTAGAAAGTATTGGTTGCCCCTTTCTCTCCCCTCCATTGGCCTCTGAGAACCTTGAGGGCCAAGAACTTAACTTTAGTTGCCTGTATAATATTGACACCTGTGCAAACAGAAGTTCAATTACATTTACTAAAAGAACAAGTGACTGAACAAGCCACATTTGCTCAATGTTAATTTATAGACATATGTTCACATATGTTCATTTTTAATGTAAACAAGGAGACGTCTTTCTGGCTTCCAACAGGAAGATCAAATACTTCTGGTTTGTGAGAACAATAAATCAAAGAAAACCAGACATCTATGCCAAAGGGATAGAGTTTTAGAGAAAGTGAAAGTCGCTCAGTCATGTCCGACTCTGCAATTCCATGGACTATACAGTCCATGCATGGAATTCTCTAGACCATGATACTGGAGTGGGTAGCCTTTCCCTTCTCCAGGGGATCTTCCCAACCCAGGGATCAAACCCAGGTCTCCCGCATTGCAGGCAGATTCTTTACAGCTGAGCCACCGGGAAAGCCCAAGAATACTGGAGTGGGCAGCCTATTCCTCTTCCAGTAGATCTTCCCGACCCAGAAATCGTACTGGGGTCTCCCGCATTGCAGGCAGATTCTTTACCAGCAAAGCTGCCAGGGAAGCCCCTTGAACAAGAAGACTCATCAGATAGATCTAGTGTTGGAGAGCCCCAGTCTCTGTGGAGTCATAGGGCTGCCATGGACAGGGGTATGGGTACAGGAAAGCCAGGTTGAGAACGCGGCCGAATGAATACACTAATGGACAAAGGCCAGGCTGTACATAACAATGACTAAAGAACTCTGACCCCCAGCCTCTGCAGCAAATGGTCTAGGAAGCCAAACCACAACCTCTGCAGCTATTAGACCAGCATGGTTAGGACCTGGTCAATGATGCCAACTCTCAAATTCTTATCCCCACTGCCTCCTCTATTTCCAGCTCAGGACCAGTCAGAGAAAGCCAAATATGTTCTCCAAACCAACCATGTCAGATGCTTCATTTCTAGTTAGCCCATTCTTGACCTCCCCATGCCAAATATCTCCAGTCAGAAAGTACCTAAATCTTCTCTGTTTGTTTGGTTTTTTTTTTCACTATAAAGCTTTCCCACTCCTCACTTGTCTTTGAGTCGGCAGCTGACTTCCCTTGCTATAGAGCAACCTCTGAATAAATAGCTTCTGTTCTCATTTCAGTGGTCTTCATTTATTTCTACAAGGCCTTCTCCCACATTGCAGCTAGATACTAGATACATATTATATATGGAGTTTATACTTATATATAAATTCTACTGCTAAATTTAAAAAATCACCAATGTAGAATAATGCTAAAAGTCAAATTTCTCAAGGAATGTGAGAAAAGATGCTCAGCTAGCATTAAACTAAAGAAAACAATGATATCCATACAGATGGTAGCAAAGCCAGGCCAAATCCAGGGCTGAGTCTGGACAATGGACAGAGGCTCCAGACATCTCTGTGGGTTTTTTTTTTTTTTTTCACCTCCATAGGTCAGGCACAGTTGGATCAAGAAACTTCAATGACTAGAGAGCCTAGGTGAAATGCCTCCTTATCAGTCTCTTCTCAGGACTGGGCTGGACTTGTAAGTCTTCAGAAATATTCTCCTGCTAGAGGTTCAAACAAGTGAACCAAATACATACATAATGCCTTGGGGGATCTAAAGAAGTGGAAGATGGTTGGGAAGTTCCCAGCCCCTAACTCCAGGAAAAAAATGTTTCTTAGATGCTGGCATTGGAGCCTTGCTCATCTACCCATGACTATTGACCTCTGAAATCCTAAACTCCCCAGCATCACTCTATATAGCCTTTAAATGTATTTAAAATATGGTATTTAAAATAGGTGATAACTGTATTTCTCAAACTGCTGAATGTTAATAGATGTCTCAGCAAAAGAGGAACTTTGCAGTCAAGTTTAGGAAATGTTGGGTGAAACCAAGTTAAACAGATTTCTTTTTGGCAGGACTTTGCAAAACCTTCAATATATTAATATATGTTGTGAATCGGCAAGAAGGGGATATATAGCATACAGAATTCTCCAAACTTATTTAACCATAGAAATTGATTTCCTGCCCACCTGTTTTACATCTCCCTGAACATCATTCTATGACATACAATTTTGGAAACACAGGTTTGAAATGATGCTGCCTTTCAGAGCAAAGCCATTGACTGGCTAATACTTCTCATCACCTATTGTGGCTTGCCTAAAGGAGGATCAAGAGGCCCCAGAGAAGTGGTACAAGAGGGTATTTTTGATGGGAGAAGGAAGAAGACGGGATTATGAAGCTGAGCCTGGGGCCAATGGAGGTTATATTCAGGTCTCAGTCCACTTAGCACAGTTTAAGAATATAGAGCATTAAATTCAAGATGGACGAAGCCAAAAATTATCCTCAGCAGGGTTGTAATTTTTCTTAATCAGACGTAGGATCATTATCTCCAGGAAGATAGTGATCAGAAGATCACTATAGGAGAGGAGCAAGGAGATTCAGGTAATTGATACTTTTTAAAGCACTTTAGGAAAGATGGCCCATAGTCCCATTTTAGAGTCAAGATAATGGAGGGCAGAGAGATGATACAGGTTGTCTGAGGCTCCAGGAAAGCCACTTTTCCTTCTGCAACCACACCATGAGCCACAAAGGAAGGGGAATGAAGAGTTCTGAGGAATCCGTGGTCACTTACTTTAGAATGACACAGCCAGTTCCTGCAGGTGGCGCTATCCAGAACACCTGAATCCGCGTCCGCCTCCGTGGGGTGCTTTCTGTGACCGCAACGGGGCAATTACTCATAAACTGTGTTTCTTCTTCATCTATGATCTGTGGAGAACCGGTGGAAAATAAACACGTTAAAAGGTAATGTCACTTTGGGAAGTTGTCGTGTTGACAATTCCTTAATTTTAGTTTTAAATCTGTCATTTTCTGTTAGCAGTTCTATATCCCCAGGACACCAGAACACTGCCCAGCACAGAGTCCCACTCAATGTTTGTTCACTTAACATAAAGACAAGGATATAGGTCAGGTTCTCTTCTCTCTGGGACCAGGATCTTACGTCAGCACTTTGAGGGACAGGCCACTAGGTGATGATCTTGCTCATTGATTACAATAACCTGGGTCCCAGTTTAGGGAAGGGGGAGGATGGGGAAGAGAGAATCCGAAACAAACACTATATATACCTAGCCTTCATGATTCAATCTTATAACTTGAAATTAAAATGTTAAAAGAAACTCCCCCATTGTGGAGGAAGTATACCAAAGTACGTAAAGGCACCCAGTTTTATGCACTTCTGCAGTGTTTCTTTTATTTGTGCCTTTTATTGGTGTTCTCTCAAGTTAGCCATCAAGGTTTTCCACGACATTGCAGAAAAGCTGGTAGCCATCCCCCTTCCTCAAAGCTGTTTTCACCATTCTTCTGCTTGCTTCTGAGTCTGCTGCCAGGACTTGCCTATCCCTCTCATAAAACCACAGACTATTAGATCTGGAAGGATCTTTTGGGGGAAATCATCTAAGTCCAATGGATCTTAAGTGCCAACCCCAATTGATTGCTAGTAGGCTGTATCATGAGTAGTATTAACATTAAAAGATAACATTTACTGAGTGTTTAGTATAGGTTAGGCACTAAGCTGAGTGCTTTATATGAATTATTCATTAAATTTTCAAATACAATTTCATGAGATCATATCCATATTATATTTATTTTACTTAAAAACATTTTTAAAAATTCCTCTTCTTTAGGAAAAGCAGCTAAAAAATTGTCACATCATATATTTTTATCACTGTTGTCCAGTGATTAAACAAAGACATTTTATTTATCTCAATATTCTTTATTCTTCTCTCATTTTTCTCCTTTATTTGCCACTCACTCCTAAGTATGTAATATATGTTCTTCTGAATATATATACATATATGTATATATATAATTTACTTGAAATTACATAGAGTTTTGTATTTTAATATTTCTTTTACATAATTTTTCCTTAAAGTTTTTGTTTTGTATTTTGTTAGCCAATTAACAAGCAATGTTGTGAGAGTTTCAGGGGAACAGTGAAGGAACGAAGGGACCCAACCACACATAAACAGATATCCATTATCCCCCAAACCCCTCTCCTATCTAGGCTGCCACATAACATTGAGCAGCGTTCCATGTGCCATACAGGTCGCTTAATCTTATTATGTCAGTTTTACCACATGTGAATGTAACAGATGCTGCCTGCTGCCTAGTACTCCACTGCAAGCATAGACCACATTTTACTTACCATTCTCCCAGTGAGGGGCACTGAGCTGACTTCCAGCTCTTTTCCGCCACAGACATTACTGTAATGCAAATCCTCAAGTTGCTCTGCTTTTGAACCTACATGAGTTTCTCAGTAATATAAATCATGTAGTGGAACTGCTGGTTGTGAGGTTGTGGGTCTAGTCATATTAATTTTACAGGTGGTACCAGATTGCTCTGCAAAATGGGTATACCTATTTTTAGTCTACAAGCTATGCACACCTGTTCCCACTTCCCACTATCCTCACTAGTACGTGTGATTACTGGACTTTCTAATTGTTTCTAATCTGCTATAAAATAGCAGCATGTTTTCATTTAATACTAGCCAGTTTGGGCTTTGCTTTATAAATGTATCAGGGTTCTTCTGTGAATTGCCAGTTCAGAATCTTTACCAATGGATTTTTCTCTTTTTGTCGGTTTGTAGGACTTTCTCAATATGAATTGCTCATCATTGACAAACATCTTTGTGTCACCCAGATATTTATCTTATATTTGGAATTCTTTAATAACTTTCATCTAGTCAAATTTATCAATTCCTTTCCTATGGTTTGCACTTTCTTGGGCTTGCCTAAAAAACTGAGATCAGAAAGACGTTCTCTATTATTTTCTTTCATAGGCTTTATAACTTCATTTTCACACAGGTCTTCAATCCATTTAGAATTTGCTTTTTAATATCATGGTGTAGAGATCCAAATCTATTTTCCCCATACTGTGAGCTACTTTTTAAAAATTTAATTAATCTTTTAGAGCAGTTTTAAGTTCACAGCAAAAGGACAGGGAGTTCCCATATACCCTGTTCCCACACATGGCTAACCTTCCCCATTATCAACATCAGGCACCAGAGTGGCACATTTGTTACAACTGATAAACCTACATAAACCTACACTGATACATCATCACTCAAAGTCCATAGTTTACATTAGTGTTCACTCTTGGTTTTGTATACTCTATGGCTTTTGAAAAATGTATAATAATATATATCCACCATTGTATTATAGTATTGATTAATTTCACTGCCTTAAAAGTCCTCTGTGTTCTGCCTGTTCATCCCTTCCTTTCCCCAATCCCTGGCAATTATTAAACTTTTGTTGTACTTTTTATTAGTTTCAGGAAGTTTTTTGTTGATCTTTCAGATTTTCTTTGTAGACAATCATGTTATCTGCAAACAAAGACAGTTTTATTTTTTCCTTTCAAATCTGTACCTTTCATTTCCTTATTTGTTACATTAGCTAGGATATCCAGTATGATGCTAAAAAGTAATGGTGAGGGGAGACATCCTTGCCTTGTTCTTGACCTTTGTGGCAAAGTCTCAAGTTTCTACCAATAAGTATGATATTAGGTATGTGTTATCTGTACGCTCTTTGTCACGTTAAGGACCTTTATCTCTATTCATAGTTTGCTGAGAGTTTTTATCATGAATGGGTGTTAGATTTTGTCCCATGTTTTTCCTGCATCTATTGATGTGATCATGTGATTTTTCTTCTTTTGCCTGTTGATGTGATAGATTATATTACTTGATTTTTCAAGTGTTGAACCAGCCTTGTATGACTGGGATAAATCCCACTTGATTATGGTGTCTATTCTTTTCATATACTGTTGCATTTGATTTACTAATATTTTATTGAGGAATTTTGCATCTTTGTCCATGAGAGATATAGGTTTACAGTTGTCCTTTTTCTGCAATGTCTTTGTCTACTTTTGGTATTAGGGTGGCATTGGCTTCAGAGAATGAGTTAGGAAGTAGAAAACTGGTATAATTTCTTCCTTAAATGTTTGGTGGAATTCAACAGTGAACCTGTCTCAGTCTGGTGCTTTCTGTTTTGGAAGTATTTTATTATTGATTCAATTTCTTTAAAATTTTTTTCTATTTTCTATATTTTTCTATTTCTTATTTTGTGAGTTTTGGCAAATTGTGTCTTTTAAAGAATTGGTCCATTTCATCTAGGTCATCAAAATTGTGAACAGTCATAAAACACCTTTATTATTCTTTTAATGGCAATGGGATCTGTAGTGATGTCCCTTCTTTCATTTCTAATATTAGTAATTTGTGTCTTCTCTGGTTTTTGTTCAGTTAGCCTAAGGGCTTATTAACCTTACTGATCTTTTCAACAGCCAGCTTTTTGGTTTTGTTGATTTTCTCTGATATTTTTTGAATTTCATTGATTTCTGCTTTAATTTTTTTTTATTATTTTTTCCTCCTTATTTTATATACTTTTCTTTTTTTAGTTTCTTAAAGTAGAAGCTTACATTATTGATTTAAAGTTTTTCTGCTTTTCTAATATGTACATTCAATGATACAAATTTCTCTTAAGTGCTGCTTTCATTGCATTGTACAGATTTTAAGTTGCATTTTCATTTAGTTCACAATATTTTAAAATTTCTTCTGAAATTTCTTCTTTGACCCATATGTTGGTTTAAAATGTGTGGTTTTATCTCCAAGTATTTGGGGATTTTAGTTATCTTTCTGTAATTGATGTCTAGTTAATTCTACTGTAGTTTGAGAGCAGATATTGTATGATTTTTATCCTTTTTAAATTTGCTAATGTGTGTCTTATGACCTAAAATGTGATCTATCTTGTTGAATGTTCCATGTAAGCTTGAGAACAACATGTAATCTGCTGTTGTTGAATAAAGTAGTCTATAGATGTCAATTAGATCCAGTTGATTGATGGCACTGTTTAGCTGAACTATGTCCTTACTGATTTTCTGCTTGCTACATCTGTCCATTTCAGATAGAGGGGGATCAACAACTGTGACAGTGAATTTATCTATTTCTATAATATTTGCAGTTCTATCAGTTTTTAACTCACATATTTTGACACACTGTTATTAGGTGCAAACACATTAAGGATTATTACATCTTCGTGGAGCACTGACCCCTTTACCATATGTAATGCCCCTCTTTATTCCTGATAACTTTCCCTGCTCTGAAGTCCACGCCACTTGAAATTAATACAGCTATTCCTGCTTTCTTTTGATTAGTGTTAGCATTGTGTATCTGTCTTATCATTCTGCTTTTAATCTATAAGTCTTTATAAGTCTTTAAGATCTAAGTGGGTTTCTTATATACAATGTACAATGGTCTTGGTTTTTTTAATATTTTTAAATTTTATTTTTTAATTGAAATAGAACTGACATATTAGTTTCAGATGTACGAGGTAATGATTTGACATTGGCATATATGGCAAAAAAAAAAATCACCACATAAGTCTAGCTAACATCAGTCATCATCCACAGTTATAAAATTTTTTCTTGTGATAAGAATTTTAAGATTTACTCTCTTAACAACTTTTGAATATGCAACACAGTACTGTTAACTGTAGTCATAAGGGTCTTGGTTTTGATCCACTGACAATCTTTTAATTGGTATGTTCAGACCACTAATGATTCAGGTGACTATTGATATAGGCAGATTAATATTTACCATATTTGTTGCTTTGTTCTTTGTTCCTGTGTGTCTTCCACACTTTTTCTATACTTCTGGTTTTAACTGAGAATTTTATATAATTCTATCTTTTCTTTCTTAGCATATCAATTATACTTCTTTT